TTGAAACAGAGCCATGCAGACCCAGCCAACAGAAAAAAACACAATTTCAAGATATAGGTTGTATCAACACCTCTGATCTTCTCTTTAAAGGTTTGGGGATAGGTTTTTCTTGATGTTGGGGATTGGTTTTTTAAGATGCCCATCCGCCCCAGAACCGATCCCCACAAAAACCGATCCTGAGATTGGTTTTTTCGATCTCGGGTGCTCAGGGGAGGGTCCCAGGGAACGCCAGCGATCGACTTCAGCAACGCTGAGTCATATCGATCTTCTTCCGGTTTTCTTCGGATCGATTGCGCTGTAAAAACTCCAGTGGCTGCGCCTACTATCTTCTCAGTGGTGCTGTCTTTCACTCCTAGAAAAATGCCTTTTGTCCAATGAGCCTCGAACTTGTGACCTCTCTTGTGGTATTCGACGCTTCACCAAAGGGTGGAATGGCTACCTTCCATTCTCGTCCACGAAGTCTTGAGTATGGCGTCTTTCCGTCTTGAAGTTCGGTCGATCGGAAAAACAAGTTGTAGACCGTGGACGCATGTTCAACCAACCAAGTCAAAATAGTAGGTGAGTCGTCTGGAAACTTTTCACCATAGTTCGACTCGAGCGCGGCACGAAGAGTCCTTGCCTGTACTTCCAAGGTTTGAACTGCTCGTTCAATTTCTCCCTTGGGTTCCTTGACTCCTTTCGGGCTCTTTTCGATGATCAAGGTTCCTTCAAACCCGTTCTTTACTGCCTCAACAACGGATGTAAGAGCAGGTTCAGGGTCATGTCGAATGATCAGTTTGGAATACCCTAGCTTCTTGATGTCATTCAAGAGTACTTTTGATCCATAAGGTTCTATAGGGTCCTTTGGTCACACCTTTGTAAGGTAACACGTGGGCGAACAGGCGTTTCGTCCATCGATCCCTGACAACTATTGGGGCGTGTGTTTTCTCATCCACGACTACATCATCATCAGTTCGTGAATTCATGAAACAGGAATCTACAGTCACTAGTGGGGTGGTTTCGTCAGAGTGATCCACCCGCTTGTGTGGATTGGCTTTGGCCTTGCCTCTAATGCAGGCCTCACACCACGAACGAAAAGGAAAATGTGAAACTGAGTGTTCCTCGAGCTCTTTTCGCGTTGGGCGAAATGGAGCGTTGATCTTGAGACCAGATGGAAGTTCTTGCCGGTCAAGACTATGCGTGGAAAAAAGCCAACACTTTTTTTGGTTTTAATTACGCTGAGGGGGGGTTGTGGAGTACCCTGACTGACTGACTGGAGCAACTCTTTCACTCGGCGCGACCAGTCGTCCGCCCTGGCCAGCGCGTGAAGACGGCCGAGCCACAAGCAGACCAATGATCTCATCCGCCCAAAAAAGTCGGTCCAGACCCTGCCCATCATCTCAAACCTTGACCCTGACGCACCAGATTGCGCTTGAGAACGACGTACCACCTGACTACCATCACTTTTGATTGAGTACCACCCAGCTTAGGCCCTGCGCCACTTTAAGAATCCAAAAACTGAATGCTGGAATGTAAGCAACAACGGGTGGATTGGTCAGAAACTGTTGAAGCTGCTATTGGGTTGGTGGCCTTTACATATAAAGCGGCAGGCGCTGTTGACCATGAACTTTTCTCTCCTTGCTCTGGGCCTGGCTCTGTTGGCCTGGCGCTGGTCTCATCTGCGTTGTCGGTGTTGGGCCACCAGGATGGTCCCCCCGTACTCGCTGCTAAGTTGGAGTTTGAACTTTGAACAACCCAAAAGCCATCAGGACATCCGAGATTCTGTTTAACGCAATGTTTGGGTAGTTGAGGGGTGCAACTTATGGCTAGCAACACCTGAGGGTGGAAGTAGCCCCACAACACTTGGCAAGGATTTGTTTCGGACATGAGCGAAAGATGCCGATGTTGCCCTTGATCTCCTTCTCGGCGCCTCGCAGGGTGCAACCTTGGCATTGGCATCTCCACCTTTGTGGGCTTTAGCACAGGCCACAGCTAGCCTGTCCGAGGCCACTTTCGAAACCTAGAACCACAACAGCTACAATGGAACAAAGACTTTGGGCGCTGTGTCTGGTGTTGCAAGTGCCGGGAACCGGGACTTCAAAGGAGAAAGTTCATCCAAATTTCTGCAACAGTTCTTCACTGCGTAGCAGCCTAGCGAGTGCGGCGGGCAACCGACAAGAGCGCCTTGTGCGTCTGGGCATTGATCTCCACATCATGGGCCCCGATCCAATTCGATTGAAACCCGGAAAAATTTGCCAAGCACTGCCACACTTTGCAAATATTTCCGGGGCAGCTTTGGCCCATGATCCACTCTCTCAGTCTTCTCTTCTGCGGGGAAGACAGAAAGGTGAACTCGCCCAGAAGCTCACCAGCCCGGATCTGCACCTCCTGCAAGCTCTGTCCTTAATAGCAATGAGGAGCAACTATGATAACGCACAAGGCAAATGCCCCAATGAAGTTTTTTCGTGACAAGTGCTGGTTAACCTTGGTCTGGGCACTTAGATTGGTAAAGGTACCCTGGTCCTGGCATCAGGAAGGTTTGCATGGGGTTTGTATGTCTATCCAAGGAGGCGTTTGTCACAACGATGGTGCTTCTCAGCAAATGACAAAACAAAAGAATGTATAACGCAAAGAATCCACACCACCGCCCGAACTGCAAGGCATTCGTGCCATTGTACACAGCACTGCCAATCGGGTCGGCTGTCAGGTCCAACGCATGAAGCGTGGCCACGAAGTGGGGGAGCAAGAGCCTCCAAGCTGAAGAGCGAATTCGCGGCAGCTCTTCGAGACTCACCTTCCAAGAGGTTCCCTCCGTGCGCAACATGTCGTCCAAACTCCCATCCAGGAACTGGGCGCACTGGGAGAGGACTTTCGCCAATGTCACTGATTGGAGGTCCATGTTTCTGCGCACAAGTTTCAAGCGAGCGCCCGCTTTGCCGAACTTGTCACGACATCTGACAAAGCGGGTTGGCAGGTATGCCTTTTGGCCCGCTCGCCGTGTCTGTTGGTGATATCGCTGCGCGGCCATCAATAGACCAAAGCGATTGCCATCCGTCTTCGCAAACTCCAGGGCGGCCTCACACCACCTCAACCGGCTCAGGCTACGTCCAAAAGGTGACACGGTTACTGTCTGTCCCTCTAATTTACAGCATTACTGGTTGAAACATCGCAATGGCGAGGGGCGAGGGATCTCTCATATACACGCCCATGTAGACAATGCCGAATTGCTCAACAGGAGGCAGCTTGAGCATTGCCCGGCTCGTCATCAGCCGCCTCAAGCAATTCGTTGTCTTGCACGATCCTAGGCGGGACATGGTTCAGTCATTATCCGGCCACATCCGGCCAAAAACGCCTACCAAGTTCCAATGCCTGGGCGACGCCGCCCTCTAAAGAAAAAGACCATATACCTGGATCTTTTAAATGGTTCTGATTCACGCCGAGAGTCGCGGCGTTTTGGCCACTGAGTGGACGAAGGATCCCTTCATGGCATCCAAGAAGTTAAAAGCCGCACCGTTCATCTCCAAGAAGGGGTTCCTCAGCGCAGCAACTTTGCGCAGCGGCCCACGAAGTGTTTTGGACATGCCAAGGCCGCGCCAGCACAAGTACGTGAGAAGCAAGACCTTAGATATCGCAACTCAACTTGACTTGAGAACAGCGGGGAATCCCTTATTGCCTTCAGCTAAATGTAACTACCTCCGGCCCGACCAAGACAAAGCTTGCCCTCTCAAGAACTGTGTAAAAAGATTGTTTTCTCAGTGAAGCCATGCATGCTACCACGGGGCAGCTGGCAGATCATCACTCTGATCTCGGAGCAAGAAGCTGAGCACCAAAATGAGCTGCTTGCGCTGTTCGTGAACGACAGCTTTGGCAACCTTCCCAAATTCAAATGAACCACTCTATAGAAATCACGCCCTGTCACAACAGAGTTTGCGCTCGGGGGTCAACCTCCTGTCTGACACACTGTGCACCAAAAAGAAAACTAGAGGCCTGGGTCACCAAGCGGTTCCCTTTAGTGTCAGCCCCTGGATTCGCCATCCAGCTAGCCACCAACGATGCGGCAGGCGCAAAGGGCACCGGCATGGCAGGTCGAAGAGTCAAAGAGGCTCGCTGAACCGAGGCTGGCGAACTTGACACTGGAAAGGCCAAGGCCAAGGCATTTAGAGAACAATCTTCTGGCGTTCAACACGGCTACTTCTACTTTCCTCACTTGATACGTAGCCATCAGCACTCAACTGCAATCTCCACCGGCGACTCCCAAATCCACAGTCTCTCACAAACAGGCACGGGCTGCCTCAGCCATTCCATTGGCCGTGGCAATCAAAACCTGGGAGAAGTACCCCGGATGCCCTCCTCCGATTGGAGGAGGGCTCCGCTACCAATGTTGAAACCACGGACCGATTCGATCCGCCGAGGGCTCCTGCTCTCGACGGCAGGCCTGGTTTGGATTCTACTCTGCTCCGAAGAAAGGAAATGAAAGGACCCGTAAGCATCTTTATGGGTCCCTTCGTTTTTGGTTTCCCAGAAGTGTCTTGGGGTGGGGATCTGCCTCCTATAAGCTGGATTGTTAAGGCGGGTGTATTTCAAAATTCCCTTTCACCCATCAAACCCCTGAGCCGCATCCTAGCTAGACTCATGGTATTGGGAGCCAGGCACCCGAAGGTTCAGGCCTACAGAGAAAACGCCGCTTGAATAGAGCAAACTCGAGCACTCGAGCTCTGTCAAAACATCTACAGCGGTCCACTCAAACGTTCACGGCCAAGTGGAACATTTGTTTTGCGGCGCCCGTATACCTGACCATGGGCCAATGTGTATGACCATCGGGTCCCGCAAAAAACCCTGTGTGTCCCACGCTGGCCCATGTCCACTGCACGTTTCCGGAATCAAAACATTAAAACATTGAGTGCTGGTGGGCTATACCTAGGATATAAGGAAATCCGTCTACAGCTCATAGCTGCCCAAAACATTGTCAACCTGAAGGCAATTCTGCTTTGGTCGTCTCAAAGCCAATCCAAGAGCAGCACGGCACCGGGTCACGATGCAGCAAGCCTCTGCTGCGATTGGAACAGCATCTCTGTCTCTCTCTCTCTCTCTCTCTCTGTGTGTGGGTCTTTTCAAATTTGCACTCAGGCTCGTCAATGCCAATGACAGGGACAAACATGTTTCTGGAAAATCTAGCTCCAAGAAAGGAAATGAAAGGACCCGTAAGCATCTTTACGGGCCCCTTCGTTTTGGCTTTCACAGATCAAACCCCCGAGCCGCATCCCCACAGGGCAAACGCTCTGCCAATGTCGGTTGATCTAGCTAGACTCGGGAGCCGGGCACATCTGGTGGACCTTCTCAAGAGGAAGGTTCAGGCCTACGGAAAGAACGCCGCTCGAATAGGACAAAGTCGAGACTTGTCAAAACATCTACAGTGGTCCTTGCAAACGTTGACGGCCACGTGGGATATTTGTTTCGTGGCACCCAATTATACCTGACCATGCTCCAAAAAAGGTGTATGACCGTCACGTCGGGTCATAAACTCCACCAAACAAACCCGGTGTTTCCCACGCTGCGTGGCCCATGTCCAGGTTTCTAGAATCGAAGCCTTGAACGCGGGTGGGCTGATAGGAGGCCAATAGACTGATCGAAGAATGTGTTGCCAGTTCCCCGTAGGCTGGCAAAAGGCTACTGGCCTTAACCTGCGCCCCCCCTCAATAAAATTGAGCTAGTCCACAAAGCCGCGGCAGGTTTGAGGGTCATTTGTTGGAGCAAAAAGCTTTTTGTGTAAAAAACATTCCACCAAACAGATGGACTTCAACAAAAACCCACAAGAACTGCCGTATCGTCTGGGAAAGAGGTCAATCCGAAATTCCCTACATCTGGAAGCGGTCATTAGGACAAGGTATCGGGTTTGGGTTTTCCTCATCGGTTTCCGAAGTTTGATGAATATCACTAACATACCCTATGTTTACATGCCATAGTACAGTCATGGATATTCATGGCATGTCCTTTGAACCCTAATCTGCTCTCAAGTGGGCATGTCCCGTGGCCTCTGGAGATCAGGGCATCGGTTAGGCATCTGTCTATACAGTAGTAGTAGTAGAAGAAGAAGTAGTAGTAGTAGTAGTAGCAGTCGTCATCGTCGTCCTGCTTCTCCTCGTGCTCGTCGTCGTCGTCGTCGTAGAAGTAGAAGTATAGAAGTAGAAGTAGAAGTAGAAGTATAGAAGTAGAAGTAGTAGTAGTAGTAGTAGTAGTAGTAGTAGTAGTATCAGTAGTAGTAATAGTAGTAGTAGTAGCAGTAGTAGTAGAAGTAGTAGAGTAGGAGTGGTAGAAGTAGAAGTAGAAGTAGAAGTCATCGTCCTCATCGTCCTCGTTGTCGTCGTCGTCGTCGTAGTAGTAGTACTACTAGTAGTAGTGGTAGTGGTAGTAGTAGTAGTAGAAGAAGTAGTAGAAGTAGAAGTAGAAGTAGTCGTAGTAGTAGTAGTAGTAGTCGCAGTAGTATAGTAGTAGTAGAAGTAGAAGTAGTAGTAGTAGTAGTAGTAGTAGTGTTGTAGTAGTAGTAGTAGTAGTAGTAGTAGTAGTAGTAGTAAACACCACACACACATGCCGGGCACCTGGAAGACTGAAGACCACGAAGAGCTCCTCCATGTTCTGCACGCCGTCGTACCTGGGCAGTAGTAGTAGTAGTAGTAGTAGTAGTAGTAGTAGTAGTAGTAGTAGTGGTAGTGGCAGTAGCAGTAGCAGTAGCAGTAGTAGTGGTAGTGGTAGTGGTAGTGGTAGTGGTAGTAGTAGTAGTAGTCGTAGTAGTGGTAGTAGTAGTAGTAGTAATGGTAGTGGTACTAATAGTATAGTCGGAGTAGTAGTCGCCGTAGTAGTAGTTGTAGTGGTCGTCCTCGTCGCCGTCGCCGTCGTCGTCGTCGTCATCGTCGTCGTCGTCGTAGTAGTAGTAGTCTAGTAGTAGTAGTATAGTAGTAGTAGCAGCAGTGGTAGTAGTAGCCGCAGTATTTATCAGATGTATGATACAGAGGCATCTGTCTTGGGTTTTCCTCATCGGTTTTTAATGTATCAATGTAAGACCTACTGAAATATAGCTTTTGCTTCCAACGTTTTTGGACGGATCTCACGTCTTCCACGGGCCACCGGGCATGCCCGTGCACAGGGTCATGTACCTCTGACAGGCGCCAACAGAAAACAAAGTCATATAGAGGCTGGGCTTGGCCGCCTCACAATGTACTTCGTCAACTGCCACTGCACGAAAGAACAAAAGATTGTCTCAGCTCCTTTTTGGCTTCAACTCGGAATTGGATCTGAAGATCATTTCAGCCAAAATGCAAGGTTGTCCTCAGTCGATCACCGTGTTGGACGACACTTTTTCTTGAGCCCGGGGAGGTGGGCCAAACGTGAAACGTATGTGTGTCTGTGTGTGTAGGAGGGCACAGCCAAACAGAAAAATCCATGCGCATCACATCGCATTACAGCTTTTTCACAAACCCCTGGCAGCCCTGGCAGGGCAGAATGACCTAAGACCGAATGGCCTATAGTGCACCTTTGGCCAAATGAGATTGCCAATGGGGCGTCTGAAGGAGGATTCGCACAACTCAAGTTTGGAACACACGCACATTGCACAGCTGAAAGCGGGGATATATCTTGCAACGCACGAATGCAATCAAGGCTCAACAGCCAACCGTGCGCCGCTGATGGCTTCCGGCTTTCGCAGCCGACATGGAATCTCCTGAGCCGCTCGGTACCACCAAGTGGATGTGCAAAACAATGCTCACAGGCGGGAGCGTTTGATGGCAGGGCTTCCAGACGCTTGGCTTCGAATGTGAAAAAGCCCAGCCTCCAAGATCAAAACTACAGGTCATCACCAGAGTCTGATTTGTCGCTCTTGTCGTCGCTGTCGCCGCCTTCAGACGGCTCTGGAGGGTCTTCCTGAGGTTGAGGCACGGCCGGCGCTGCCTGGTTCTGATTTGGTGCCTGCGTCTCAGCACCTGGTGCCTGTGTCTCAGCACCTGGTGCCTGCTGCTCAGCACTTGGTGAACCGGATCCGTCCAAATGGCGTCGGTAAAAGCGATCATCATTAGCATCAAGGACATGCCTGGCCAACTCGGTGAGCATTACCTCCATCAATAGTTTCTTATGGAGGGGGCTGCGAACCACCACCAAAACGGGAACACGAAGCCGGACGCAAAGCAAAGGCAGGCGCCCAGCACCAGGAGTCATCAAAATCACCCGGGCAGGGTCCCAAATTGTGTGGAGCATCATCTTGTAGGTGACTTCACACCTCGTCAGACGATGGGAATTGAAGCAATCGAAGCTGGAGGAAAAGCAAAGCGATACCCCGCCTCTCGAATAGGCTCATGGCCACCAAATCAGTCTCTGCCATATCGCTTTCGAAATGTTCATCTTTCTCTGTAAGCAGCTGTCTCTTGGCGACACTAGGCATGAGCTGCATCTTTTGCGACTTCCGAATTTTTGGCAGACTGCCAGGCAAGGGCAATGGAATCACGATGGCTGACACTGCGGTTGTTTCAAAGCAACCAGCTACACGAAGATATTTGTGTTCCCTGCACTCGAGCGGGCCCTTCTCTGCCTTCCGCCCAAACAGAAAGGTTTCTTTGCCTGAAACGGCCTGGAGATCTCCAGCTGCCATGGTTTTGCGTCTCTTTTGCGCAGACTCATCAGACCTCAAGCCAAGAAAAGACCTCTCACGATGTGAAGCATGCTTGGACAAAATTTGCATTAATTTAGATGATATCAAAAGGCGGAAGCCAGCTTAAGCGAACCAAGCCACTGCCTTTTCTTCCCGAAATCCTTACGAAATTGCAAGGATTCCTGATTTGGAATAAAGGACATACTCTGCAATGCGACGCTGGTGCCCTTGCGGATCTCAGACAAAGCCTTTGGCAAACCAGAATCAAAGGTGCAAAAGACATCTGCGGGGCTAGCAAGGGAATCAAAGAGGTTCGCGAAAGTCTGGTAAGCACCTTTGTGAAACCTCAGTGGGCAACGCCGCTGCCAAGCTCAATCAAGGGCAACAATGAAGCAAAGGAAAACTAGATTAGCCTCGAAACACTGGCGATTTTGTAAAAGGGTTGATCCACCTGTTGAAATGCCCTGCTGGCTCCACTATGAGCGCTGAATCAAAGAACCAAGCCTTTGAAGCATCTCCCTGCAGGAGGCTTGGAAAATGAAACTGCAAAAGGGAACACGCAATGTGCTATCACATCATGTTACAGTGCCATTGCGATCTTTAGCCTCTGCTGACAGGAAAAGGCCTGAAGGATCGTGTGGTGCTGCAGCCCATCCATTAATGCTTGCTTGCCCGCTGAGTCATCCAAATTGCCCTGCAAAAAGTGGACGTAGTACTCGATCTCTTCCTGGCTCAGAAAGGGTGGTAGGCAGCATGACATATGATTTGCTTCTGGCAGCGCTGATGCTATCTGTCCTTGGCTGCTTCCTGCGCAGCTGCCTTTTTCTTGGCAGCAGGGTCCACAGGCGTAGGTGTTGGCTCTGCATCGTCTTCCTGTTGTTCCTCATCACATGGAGCACTCTCTTCCACAGCGGTGTTAGGAGTTCTCTTGTTCAATGCCATCTTGTGCTTGTCAATGACTGTCTGGAGCAATTTCGCAACCTCAGGGTGATCTTCCTTTTGGCCAGTAGTGATGGCAGCCATCAGCTGCCGGTCATGAGTTCCGACAAGGAACTCGCGTGCCAGTTGAGCGGTAAGCATGTGGTGTTCTTCAGCTAAGCCAACTACATTGTGGTCTGAATCAGAGAACTCACGCGGGTTCATGGCGCCAGAAATGTAGGATTTGATCTCGTCCGGAAGCTCTAAAGATACCAGACGCTGAAGCAGCCTGTACTTCAGCTGAAGCATTTGCGTCACCTGACACAAAAAAGGTTGCCTTTTAGCGGAGCTGGGCACAAGGGAAGGGCGAGAAAACAAGTCGGGTCGCTGGCCTCCACAGCTTGATCTCGTGTCAATTGCCGCATGTTCAAGTCTGTGATCACCCGGAAGCGGCTACCAGTTGGCCGCATTGTTTCACAAATGAATTCCATGACGAAGCGAAATTCTTCGCTGGATCTCAACATGCCACTCCTTGGTGCATCATGCGGCCAAGCTGGCACCAAATTGAAGCAATGAAGATACAGCAAACACCCATAATAGCTAAAATCTTAAGACCCAGGTCCGAGGCGCACTCGGGTCACAATCGCCCATCTTGAGACCCAGGTCCGAGCCCCATCAATCACCTGCACACCCTGCAACTGCGCAAGCATGTTTGCCTTACTGGCTTTCTCGTAAAGGCTCAACAGTTTCTGAATCTGGTCAGGCGATTTCAATTTGGTTTCTTCAGTAGATGAATGGATGTTGCTCTGCAGCAACTTGAGGATATCTTCGTGAGTTGCCCGCTTGCGCTCACTGAGGAGCAAAGATCGCAGCCTCGGATTCTCACGAGCTTGCCAAACATGTGAGCACGCAACTTATTACGCCACCACAAAAACACGACAAGGGGAGACATTGCGCAGGCAAATCGCTGCACCAACCGCTGGGCAAAAAGTAGAGGTAAGACATTGCCGGCTTCCATCACCTTTTGCGAAACATCCTCCCCCATCTGAAGCACACGTAGCATCATGTTGTCACCTTCATGGATCCTAGTCACGATGAAACTGACTGACAAGCTCAGGCCCTTGTACTTGTCGCAAAGCTCTTGGTCCTATCAAACGACAAAGGAAATTCATACATGAAGCGCAAGGAGAGAAGGGGTTGAATGAATGTCGGATACAACTTGCACTTGTTTGACTTCCGTCCTTTGGGGGCGTGTCATCCTCATCGTCCCCAGAGGGCTTAAAACCCCAGCTCATAGCCCATGAAAGCAGAAAGGACATGAACTTGGTGCAGTCTTCTGCAATCTGCAACTGGCCACGTTCTGTGGTTTCAGAGGCATAGGTTGTGATCATCAGCACATCAGTCGCCATGACGCGATCTTTGCTCCACCAATACGCGGCGCTATCCAAAAGCTGGGGCACACTGGGGTAGGTCATGCCGTTGCCTGGTGAAACTGTCATGGCAACATCGCTCATCAGCCCTGTGTGATAGGAAACCTTGGCGACGCGACGCCAACTCTGGCAAGAGGAGCTGGGCCCAAAGAAAATGAAGTATCAAACAAATGCATCAAATGCCATGAGGAAGTGCCTCGTCTTGCGTGCTCCATTTGCACTAGAATAGAAGCGCTGCTGAGGCACTTTGTCCACCTTTGATCCATTCCACCCTCGCGGAAAAAACGGCGCCCCAGGATTTGCCACAGCTTTGGACGCATCTGTGACGTATTGGCGGCGGACCCGCAGAAATTCAATCGCTCTTTGGACCCTAGGTTGCAACAGGAAAGCATACAACGCAAAAGAGAGGTACTACCTAAGACAGAACGCCTGTGGACTCGACAAGAAACACATCAATGCCATCTCGAACGTGAGCAGCGTGCTCTGCCTCAGTATCTACTGCAATCGGCGAAGCCTTGGCCTTGGCTGGCGAACTCTTGGCCTTGGATCTTCCCATGGCTCAGCTGCTCACACACACACACACCTGCAAACGCTTCAAAAAAAGGCCCTAATGGCAGCAAGTCAGAATGCAACAGTTGATTATCCATGGCAGCCGGATGCCGAGGC